ATATACGTACAGTAGAGACAGAGATGAGTACAGTGGAGACAGATATATGTACAGTAGAGACAGATGAGTACAGTGGAGACAGATATACGTACAGTAGAGACAGAGACACATACAGTGGAGACAGAGACACGTACAGTGGAGACAGAGGTGTGTACAGTAGAGAAAGAGACATGTACAGTGGAGACAGAGATGCATACACGAGAGACAGAGACACGTACAGTGGGGACAGACATGTACACTCGATACAGAGATGCGTACAGTGGAGACGGAGATGCGTACAGTGGAGACAGAGACGTACAGTGGAGACAAAGATGTGTACAGTGGCGACAGAGACGTACAGTGGAGACAGAGACGTGTACAGTGGAGACAGAGACACATTGGGGACAGACATGTACACTGGCGACAGAGACGCGTACAGTGGAGACAGAGATGCGTACACTGGAGACAGAGATGAGTACAGTGGAGACAGAGACGCGTACAGTGGAGACAGAAACGTGTACAGTGGAGACAGACGCGTACAGTGGAGACTGAGACACGTATATTGGAGACAGAGACAGTTTTTGTGGTTTTGGACTCACTTCTCAGAGTTGCTCGTGGAGCTGATGTCCTGCAGCACACTGTCCCAGTGCTGCTGGACATGCTTCAGACGTTTTTCCTGCTTAGTCCACAGGAAGTCCACCTGCTCCAGGTGACTCTGCTGCACCTGAGCTGCCTGAAGCTCCGCCTCCTGCCGGTCACGCACCAACTTCTGCAACACACACAGCTCATTTCCACCACACACTGAGGAGAGCCAAGAATCAGCTGAAGAAAATACAAGATCCATCCATCCATCCATTTTCTTTACCCGTTTATTCCATTTTGGGTCACGGGGGTCGCTGGTGCCCATGTCCATCAATCACTGTGCGAGGGGCGGGGACACCCTGGACGGGTCTCCAGTCCATCACAGGGACACATAGAGACAAACGAGACAAACAACCATTCACTCTCTCACTCACACCTAGGGACAATTTAGAGTTACCAATCAGCCTAACATGCATGTTTTTGGTCTGTGGGAGGAAACCGGAGCACCCGGAGAAAACCCACGCATGCACGGAGAGAACATGCAAACTCCACCCAGAAAGACCCCTGGACCGGGGTTTGAACCGGGGACCTGCTCGCTGAGAGGCAGCAGCTCTACCAGTTGCACCACCGTGCTGCCTACAAGATGTATTAAAGAAGAAAAAATATTTTGACTGAAAATGTTCTACACCTAGAGCCCTGCCCCCCTTCAGGTTTTTTGTCAGATATATTTTTTAAATTAAAGCACCATAAGTCCTTTGAAGAGAATAAATTAACTTAAAATTTTACTTTTTTAATTTGACAGACTGATTACTCCATTCTTCTTCTTCTTTCAGCTTTTCCCTCTTCAGGGTCTCCACAGCGAGTCCTCCTCCATCTCACTCTGTCCTCTGTGTCCTCACTCCAACTACCTCCATGTCCTCTCTAACTGCATCATATGTCTCCTCTTTGTCTTTTTCCTGCACCTGCATTTCTAACATCCTTCAACCAATATACCCACTGTCCCTCCTCTGGACATGTCCAAACCACTGTCCCTCCTCTGG